ATTTTTATATAAAATCCAAGTCTCGTCTCCAATGACAAGCTTCTTTAAGAAAGGATCTCTTTCGTGTCGTTGGAGAAGCAAATCGCACGTAGAGACGCGGTTCATAAGGTCTGAGGACGCGGTATCCCATCCTGATCAGGTGATTACCGTTCTTCTGGGAATATTTGTGGCATTTACTATCTCGTGCACACTATGTCGCGGATTTTCAAGCGATGCATGGCCTTAATAAAATCCCCGTATCCGTCATTATTGCGGTCTTCATCTTTCAAGTCAAAATTGTCAACTCTAAATCTCTTAAACCAATTGGGAACGGTCATCATCAAATCTCGTCTGTAATATCACTTGCACTTACCTTTTTTAAAGCAATGAAGCATAACATATAAATGCTTCCTTTGGCTATCCATATTGAACGGTATAAAAAGAAGTTTTAAAAGAGACTATGTCACCAAGGAAATATACTTTAAAAGAGCTCTGGAACGACTGAAATCGATGCCATAAATGGCTAATAAATAAGTCTGCATGTTTATATAAAAATAGCCAATTAAAATCATTCCCAGCGAGAAAGAAAAGAAACTTATGGGACAGCCTAATATTATTTGTTAAGACAATTAAAAATCATTATTTTTAATTTGATGTAAATTTTACTTTTAACAAATTTCGTATATGCCAATATTCTAAAACGCGATTTCTTTATCTGATCTGATAATAGTCACATTTATAAGATCGTCTACGATAAGAGCGTACACGGGGTCCAATGTGTGTTAGAATTGCTCTTTAGGATGTTATACATTATACATTAGGTTTGTACACTTCTTTTTTCAGCCTGAACATGGAATGATAATAATAAAAGAAGAGCCGATCGAGATCGACAGCCATGACGATTTATGGCTGAACGAAATTGATGGCGGGAGTGAAAACGAAGCATCAAGATCTGAAGATCGTAAAAGCGAAGAAAACGAAATTGAAGATAGTAAAATCGAAGATAACAAGAGTGCGAATGATAAAATTGAAGATAAAGATGAAGATAATTATGAATATAAAAGATTTGTGCTATCTCAAGAATTTGATCCCTTAAAAAATAACGCATTGAAAGCTCAATTTATAACTTGCAGTATTTGTTTCTTGACATTTAGAAAGCTAAGTTATATTCGACATGTGCGTAGATACTGTAACGGTGACTATAAATGTAAAAAATGCAAGGCGGTCTTCAATACTTGTCATTCGATCAAACGTCATTTGAGGATAAAGGGTTGTAAGAAAAAGCTTATTTATAAATTTCTTTGCAATTTTTGTCATCGAGGGTTTTGGAGAAAGACCTATATCCAATGCCATTTATTCCACGCGCACGAAGATGAAATAAATAATATCGATAAAACTCAAATTGTAGAAAATTACAAATCGTCAGAGAAACCAAATGATGTACTCGTGGAGAAGCTAAACAGTTCAAATGACGCGTTTCCAAAACAGTTAAATAATTTGACAAATACATGTAAAAAAGAGTTGAACAGTACACCTTCCTCCAAATTGAACGGTTTAAATTGTACGCATTCGAAAAGATTCAGCAGTCAATGCGATACAGTTTCGAAAAAGCCGAAAAATTTAAATAGTGCAAGCCAGTTAAATTATTCATGCGATTCATCCTCTAAAAAGATGAAACAGACCACTCTTACAGATTTTATTCGTTTTATAAGGAAAACTCGAACAACGATGACGTCATCATAGAGAAAGTGATTGGTATAAACAATAATTCTGCTATTGATGACACGAATGAAGCGTGTGAGAAATTTGGTGATAATTCCTCGTTGACTTCAGAAAATATTCAAGCGCACAAGCGTGCCCGATCTCGTGCGCTTGACAAGAATAAACCATTCGTTCAGATTCATGTGAATCCCCGCACGATGATGCTCTTATTGAACAACGAGATAAAAAGTGATTCTGAGAGTCTCGAAAGTTCGTACAACGTACCCTACAATCTTAGACCATCGGGAGAGAATTCATGTGCATTACGTAAAATTCGCGATTCAATAAACCATGACACTTCTAACAAAGCAAAACGTCCCGTTAAAAGAAGATATCCCTGCAATGTATCTACGCGAAGAATGTCTTTACGAAATAAAAGGTTCAAGTCTGAAATTGTAATTAAAGAATGCAAGATCTATCTGGAGAAATGCGACGAGATCTTGAAACGGGATAAGATTAAAACAGAAGTTGAAAATGTTTCTCAATCTGTAAATTTGAAAAAAAAGAGAGAAATAAAAACGGAGAAGGCTGACAATTTTATTAAAACTGAATCGGCAAGTGATCTATCTTTAAAGCTTACGTCAAAGATATTCAAAGCTGAAAGGAATAATTTGTCGATTGCTAAAAATGAGCCAAATGTGTCGAAAGGTAATGTTAAGATATCGCAAAGATCGTTCCAATGTCATGTTTGCAAAAAATTATTCTCGTTAAAAGAGAATTTGTACGAGCATATGAAATTGTTTCACTCGATTTACATATCGAGTATATGTAACGCACGCTATACATCCATTAATAAATTGTTGAAACATTATTTACGTCAACATATCGTGTTTAAGCGAAAAGAATGTTGCGTGTGTTACGAGAAATTCGACACACCGGTATCGTTGAAACGACACATGATTGTGCACTGTTTGAAGACCATACGATCTAAGAAAGACACTCTACCGGTTGACGTTGAGATAAACTGCAGTTCATTGAAGAAAGAAAATAAGTGCAAAGGTTGCCACAAACGATTCTGGCTCAATTCGTGTTTGAAAGAACACGAGAAGGTGTGTCGTCGAATGAAAGACCGGATATGTAAGCGATATAGGCCTCAAATAAAATGCTCCTTTTCGTCTCGGACAAAGGAATCGATTGGCTCAAAATTTAACACGATACAAGCAATTTCTTTAAAAGAAATATCATCAGAACAGAAAATGAAGCCGATGAATTCGATCAAAACAACGCCCACTATGACTCATAGTTCACATCATGTTTTACCATCTGTCCCACCTAACTCTGCAGCAAGCAAAAAGAGATTAGTTAACAGTATCGCTTGGATGAAGGATTACGAACTTAAAACGAATGATAAAACGACATTTCCCTGCACCATTTGCGGGATACAGTTTCAAACGTTTCAAAATTTGTGCATGCACGAGCGTACCTATGCCAAACCTGCCAATAAATCGTGCAACGTTTGCGGTACCCTGTTTCCTTCCAAAAGATTGTTACAACTTCACTCGCTCGCGACCCATTCGCCTTCTTGCGCGGAAAATTATCAATTCTTTTGCAAGTTTTGCAATCAAGGTTTCGTTAAAAAAACGAACATTCGGATTCACGAGCGACACTTCCACATGGACCAGGTCCCTAAACCCGTCCGAGTCAACGAGTCCGTTTGGAGTTCGTATCCAATGTGTACTACGTGTAATTTGTTATTCGAATCGTACGAGCGATTCATCGAGCATAATATGTATTACTATAACGATCAAGTGTTTGTGTGCACTGTATGTGGCAAATCGTTTCAGGGGATGTACAAGCTTCACTATCATAACAAGATGGAACATTATCCGAACGACATATTGAAATTGTACGCTTACAAATGTAACATTTGTAACGAAGGTTTCAATTACGAGTCGCATTTCCACGCGCACAAGTTGCATGTTCATCTACCCGATGCGCCGATTATACAGAAAACGCTAAATATCATGCAAGACCACAGCTACGCTTTGTCGAATAACGTTGGCATAAAGACCAAAGTAATGGAAGAACCGATAATATTGTCGGCAAAGACGTATATTTGCAATGTGTGCAATTTGAATTTCACCAACGAAGAAGATTTGTCGATGCACAAGATAGAATACTCCACGAACGGTGAATTTCAATGTGGCAAATGCAATCGAAAATGTGGTACCAGTTCTTTTCTAGCCAAGCATAATAGTTTGAATCATACCGGTTGTGATATTAACAACAGTTTCAAGTGTCGATTTTGTGGTGAGGTGTTGACAACCAGTACAGCGATGTTGTGCCACGAGAAACACTTTCATTTAAATTGCAACAGTGATCTCAACAATGATAACAGACAGCCAATTCAGCTAGTTATGAATAAGAAGATTGATAGCAAACTTGAAAAGTGCGATCTTACGTGTTCGACTTGTGACATGAAGTTTCACAACAATATCAAATTGAAGCAACATTTGTTGGAGTATGCCGATATAGGTAAATTCATTTGCAACATTTGCCAAAGAAAATTCACCGAGGTGGAACAGTTAGAGGTGCATAAAATCAAACACACCATGTTGAGCAACACTTTGCTGTCGCAACGGTGTCCTATATGCAATGAAGGATTTTCGGATCCTATGAATGTTCGGTCGCATGTAATGCACCTACATCGATACGAAACGTTTAATTTTAACACGGAGCATATAGGGACAAAATGACGAGGAATTAGAAAGAGGGCGACACTGTGATGGACATCCTAGCTTAACATCTAGAATTAGATCAAGTGAATCGCTTTCATTTCTTCCTTATATTTGAAACGTGGCAAAGCCTAGTTTTAAACGATATGGAAATGTATAAATTCATTATTTAACATTGAAATCCAGATATACTCCTCGTGTTTGTGGAATCGATGACAGAAATACTTTTTATAGAACATATGATGAACCAATTCTGTCATGTCATCGAGAGCAGACATTTTGCATATATGTGAGTGATAAAAAAAAGTGAACAAAGTGAAGGAACTCAAAATATAATGTATTTGTTGACTGTATACTTAGTGATTGTTACAAATTTAAAAATGGTTTTAATAATTTTCGAATAATTAAGATTTTGTTATATTATGTATGTATGCAAATTTTAAAGTAAAATTTTTGACAGTTTATTTTTCCATAGTGGATATTGCATTGAAAGTGAAATTTATTTTCGAATATTAAATCTCAATTGCAGATTCCATTATTGAAAAAATACTCTTAAGAGTTTTACTCTCAAATGTTTATACTTTCAGATATCCTGTGTTCAATCAAATGAAAAGTATTATTTATAACCAAAAGAATGCGTAGACATTTTGTTTTAAAAACATTATTTACTAAATTGATACTAAATTGTTCTATGTAACTCTGAAGTTATAAATCTATGTTAGCCAACACAGTAAAAAATTTAATTTATATATGAATATAATTAATTGAATAAGAATAGAATATAAGCTGAATAAGAAATAATGTTGTTTCTTTAATATATTTATATGAATATTAATTTTAATTTTCTTTATATTAATAGTAATTTTAATTCGTTAGTTGTTCGTACTGTAAATATGACAATGGCGAATGTAATATATGCGTCAATTAATTATAATTAAATAGGTAGTTATTTGGTTCACAACAAGTTAAAAGTTTTTTAGATAACATTTCTATTTTGATGTATATTATATTATACTAATTTTATTTTTAATATCTTATTTTTATTTTCAACATCTTTTGAGATTGTGTTGTTATAATAGTAGATTACTACTCGTATTTAAATTTATTACTACAAAATAAAAAACGAAATTACTGAAATTGAATAATTTTCAAAAAAATTTATTTAAAAAATAATTAATCAATGTTTTTCTTCTTTTTTAGTCAATAATTTTCTCATAATTGATTCAATCAAACAATGATAATGCTAAATTAGGATATTATTCTCTTTCTGAATAATATACAGAATATCTCAGATTTTTTTTTTTTTTCAATCAAAATTTGGCAATGTGTTTTGTGGGTTAAAATAATTCTTGTTCGATGAAATAAAATAAAATTAAAATGAATTTCAAAAAATTTCAAATTGAATCTTTTACTGTTATCAAATTTGTATTGACAAGAGTATAATAAACATTTTGAAGAATTGTAATTAGAGTTGTAGAAGTATGTAATATTTTTTGACAATCACTACATGTAAATATTACTGATTTAATCAATTTTATAGATAATAATGCACATTATTTATCGTTCATTTCATTTTTAATTTTTTTGTTGTAGCTTTTTAATCATGCTTCCAATAGTATATATTTATATGATATTTTTTTCTTATTTTAACTTATAGAATACATCGTCAAGATTTGGCCAGAAAAACATCTTGTATACGTATCTCGTTTAAATTTTTGTATTTTTATGTTTTACGATATTGTTGTATATCACGTTGAAATTAATATTTCAAGATTGAAATCATGAGACTAACAAATCCATGATAATATTATTACATTTCATTAATTATGATCGATTTTACATTGTAAAAATTCTTTTATGATATGGTCATTAAATTTCATCTCATTAGATTTTTATTGGTCAATGAAAATGATTGTTGATTAATCTGATACTGTCCAAGAACAATATTCTTTTCTTAATTTTAATCTTAATTTTTAATCTTTTATAATAATTTTATAATAATTCAGAAAAACGTTATAAGACATATCAGCCTTTAATAGTTGTCTACTATTATTATATACATGGTATATAAGAAAGTATTAAAAATATTAGTAGTATTAATATTTTATTCATTGGAATTCTATAAATAATTCTATATATAACCAGATTGTATCAATTATTATATCAAATTGGTCAAATATTGATTGCTAATAATATTCTTTTCTTCTCTAAGATTATGTATAATTTGCAGAGTTAAAACAAAAAATTTTTCAACAAATTTGAAATTTTTATTTTGTTTGTTCATTATTGCTTATTATCAATTTATTGTTATCAAATTCATATTTTTATTTTGAATTAGAATATATATAATTTTTTAATTGTTCAACCTCATTATATTGTTGAATTCACTCATATATTCTTAATTATATATGCAAATGTTTCAAATCGTGTTAAAATAATACTTTTCTATTAAAATTTATCATACAAATTTTAAGATTGCATTTAATTTATTGCATAAATTTTAAATTGATAATGGTGCAGAGCTGCAAAGAAAGCTAATGATTAATTAGTTGATTTCAATACATTCGTAAGATACATATCACATATTTTTATGTCATGTCTAAATAACATCAGAGTGTACACTCTTTATGCTTTTGCTATCCTGATACTCTTCTTTCCAATTCTGCATAAAATTTTGTTTTTTGTAAGTAAAAAGTGTAACATAGTATTATCTTATATCCTGATTATAAAATTGCTAATCAAAACTGATCAATTTGCAAAGAAAGATCTATATTAGGAATTTTACCAATAAAATTATATTATTCGTATTTTTTGTTCATTAAATAGGTTATGTTTGATAATTTAATTTGCGAAAGTCATTCCAAGAAATAATGAAGATAAAATGATGCCCAATTTATAAGGACAAATTTCGGTCAGAATGCAGAGCACTATTATAGATCTTCCTGTAAAAAAAATAATTGCTGAGAGAAGGAGAACCAGGTATAGTATAACTTTTGTTATTAAATTAATAATAATATTTGTTATTTGTTATTACAAATTTGTTATTAAAAAATATTTAGTATAGAGCATTATGAAATATACTTATTATTAAATATTTAGTATTTTATATTTATTAAAATACTTTTTACTATTAATTAATGGAATTAACAAGATAAAATATTAAAAAATGTTGAATCTGGTGCAGAGCTGCAAAGAAAGCTAATGATTAATTAGTTGATTTCAATACATTCGTAAGATACATATCACATATTTTTATGTCATGTCTAAATAACATCAGAGTGTACACTCTTTATGCTTTTGCTATCCTGATACTCTTCTTTCCAATTCTGCATAAAATTTTGTTTTTTGTAAGTAAAAAGTGTAACATAGTATTATCTTATATCCTGATTATAAAATTGCTAATCAAAACTGATCAATTTGCAAAGAAAGATCTATATTAGGAATTTTACCAATAAAATTATATTATTCGTATTTTTTGTTCATTAAATAGGTTATGTTTGATAATTTAATTTGCGAAAGTCATTCCAAGAAATAATGAAGATAAAATGATGCCCAATTTATAAGGACAAATTTCGGTCAGAATGCAGAGCACTATTATAGATCTTCCTGTAAAAAAATAATTGCTGATGTTACTGAGAGAAGGAGAACCAGGTATAGTATAACTTTTGTTATTAAATTAATAATAATATTTGTTATTTGTTATTACAAATTTGTTATTAAAAAATATTTAGTATAGAGCATTATGAAATATACTTATTATTAAATATTTAGTATTTTATATTTATTAAAATACTTTTTACTATTAATTAATGGAATTAACAAGATAAAATATTAAAAAATGTTGAATCTAAAAACTTGGCATATTGTTAATTTAATCTTATGTTTAGTTATGTATTTTGTGTTTAGTTTTCGTTTATTATGAAAAATAATGATTGCATGAGTATTTTCAAAAAAAATTTAACAATGTAAAATTTTATAATAAAACACTCCAAAACCAAAGATGCTAATTGATATTTCATTATCATGTCATCAATATTTCAAAACGAAAAATATCAACTATCTTGTCAGCATTGTCATGACAAAACTTGGCATATTGTTAATTTAATCTTATGTTTAGTTATGTATTTTGTGTTTAGTTTTCGTTTATTATGAAAAATAATGATTGCATGAGTATTTTCAAAAAAATTTAACAATGTAAAATTTTATAATAAAACACTCCAAAACCAAAGATGCTAATTGATATTTCATTATCATGTCATCAATATTTCAAAAACGAAAAATATCAACTATCTTGTCAGCATGTATTCAAAGATTTATAAGTTGAAATAAAAAGTATGAAATAAAGAAATAAAAGTTTTGCATAATGCATTTATTAATATTTATGAATTTTTATTAAATGCAACAAATATTACTATATAATTATAATCATTTAATCATTTATAATCATAGATATCTTATATATAATTATTTAAGAATGTGTTATTTGTAACAAATTTTTAAAGAAAATTCTTATCCTAATGATTGCTGAAATCATTTAAAACAATTTTTATTTTTTTCTTTGTTAACGATCAATCATAGAGCGCGCGTTCCAATGATAGTATTGGATATATGTTATTAGTGAGTTATCGAGTTTGACACATATTACAATCTTTTTCGTTAATCAAACTGAGACGAAAATTTTCGCAAAAGAAAAAAATTGCTTGAAACTATTTCAAAAATAATCAGTTGAATTTTGTCGATTGATTTGTAGAACAATTTATACTTTTGACATTCTTCAATTTTTTTATTATTAATATTTGATATTATCATATTTATTAAAAAAACAATTAAAAATCTAATATTTAATGCTAGATTCTTCATAATTTTTGTTTATTTCTATTTTTGAAAAAAAAAAACAATTCGTAAAGGATTTTGTAATTGACTGGAGGCTTCGACATCTCAAATAAACAAAATAATGTATAACAAATAAAGTTATACATAGTTTACTTGTTTTCTAACTTGTTGTCTAGCCTAGAGTGCTTGGTATCTTCTGGTTCAATAAACTGAAATTGTCGCAAACAATATAGAAAATGTCTAAAGTTTTGTCGGTGTTCAAGATTTGATTTTAGGATAGTTTATATTAGATTAAATTTAATTTGAAAAGTATGTTTCAATAAAAATATATACGTTTTCCATATGTCCTTTCATCTTGGCAATGAGAAATTAGATGTTAGAAATTTCAGTGAACACCAATCTCTAGTGGATAGTTTTGGCTCCACACCAAATTCTGTTGTAACCTATAAGTTTCAATTAAAGTGAAAATATCTAGAGAACTCTGTGAATACTAGCATGCCAATATTCTGGTTATACGTTCGAACCAATTCCAACATGAATACATTTCATTTCTGTTCTATGTAATAATCAAATATTGATATCCTGTTTGAGGTTATTTATCCTGTTCTTGTTATTTAAATACTATTTAAGAACTGGTGTTTCGATTGAGTATTTCGATGATAATTATTTAGTTTAATCTTTTTTTTCATTTTTCAAAATATATATTTTGAATTTTTGTTTTGTATTTATCATTGAAAGAATAATATCAATCGGATTTAAAAAATATTGTATTTCTATTGATTTTTGCAAAATGATAGTAATTTATCGAAACCTAACCTAACTTATTGAAAACTAATACAAATCTAACCTAAATTTAATCTAATCTTTTTTTGATTAATTTTGTGCATTAAATGAATTGAAGAAAGAAAATATTATATTCTTATATAATATTTTTATGAAATTGTAGGAAAATTTATGCTTTCATAGTAAAATAATAAAAAGTATATTAGTTCTTTGAGCTTTTCCGATTAATATATATTCTTTTATAGTAATGAAATAAAAACTTTTAAAGAAATGTCTATAGTGATTTTTAAAATTAAGAAAAATCATTAAATTAAATATTTATCAATTATTACAATTTCTTATTTTTGTCTTAGTGATGAAATAAATTTTTTAAAAAGGAAAAGAAGTGAAATTGATGTGAAATAGTTAAAATTGAAAAAAGTTATTAAATTATATTTACGATTGTTCAAAAAATTGTTCTCGTCTAATTGATATCGTAATCTAAATATTATATTTCTATCATTTTTATTCATTTAAATATAAATTGAAATGTTATAAATTATAATTAAATTTATACATTATGGTGAATGAATTCATTACTTAATTAAACATAAAATTTTGAAAATGTACAAAATATGAAATATTCGCAAATATTGCATAAAAAGATTAATTTCGATTAATAATGGGCGTAAAAATTATTCGATAAATTTCATGTAATAAGTGAATGATTTTAACATAGATTGTAATTTTAAGTTAATTAGTTATTATTTTTTAGTTAATTAGTTATTAAAAGTTGGTTTATTTATTCATTCCCTTGATTAATGATATTGATAATTATATGGAAACAATAATATTTTGTAAATAAATTATTATTCCAATTTTTATCACAATATGAACAGACACATATATTTATGTGCTATAAATATTTTTAAAATAGCTTTTAAATAAAAATATTAAATGAAAAAAAATTAACTTATGAAAATTTCACATAAAAAAAGATAAATATCACATTTTAAGAAACTCGTAAATTTTTCTTCTAAATTAAGATAAAATTGGAGAAATAAAAAGTTATGAATTATATTAAAGTTTTCGTTAAATTTTAGTGTCGAACATAAAAATATGACAACATAACTTTTAATAACACAAATTTTCTACATAATTACAATAAACTCAAGATAAGCATAACAAGTATTAAATCTACAATTTCTATGGCTGTGAATTTTTAAGACTTTTTTTTTTCTCTTTCTTTCTTTTTCTTCTTTTTAGCACTTAAATTAAAATATATTTTATTATTAATAAATTTCAAGTATCTCATATTATATATTTCAAATCTTTACTAATAATCTAAAACCACGTTTGTACAATAATTTATCCTTTTTGAAAATTTCATTGAAAATTATAAAATTTTACAAAATAATGCATATAAAAAAATTTTTTATAATTAACGAAAAATGATTATTAAAAAAATTTATATTAATGAATGGTTATTATCAAAACCAAGAATATATTTTATAATAAAATTTTAATCATTGTTAAAGATCTCAATATTATTTAATATGAATTTAATATGAATCAAAATTTGAAAATCAAACGTAGAAATATGAATTTAATCTTTATATTTCCATTTTTATTCTCACATTTTCACCATTAATGTTGGATATGTGTCAAAAAAGTGTTGGAAGTAATTATTGAAATAATTTTATTAAAATAATCTGAAGATTTATTTCATTAATTATTAATTATTTATAATGAATAGATCGTATAAATAGATAAGATATTTATTCAAAACGTATTGAATGAAATTATTAATTGAATTTTAATTATTATTTCATAAAGAAAAATATTTTAAAAAAACCAATTCCAAGAATAAACTTATATTTTTAATATAAATGAACATAAATATCAACTAACCACAAATATACACTATATACATATTATAAGCTTGAATATAATTTTAAGATTCTTAGATTAAGATTAAGATTTTATTAAAAATAAGGATTCTATTCCCTTCACTATTTTTCCTTTGGTTCTTCCTTGTTATTTGATCCTAGTAGTTTTTGATTATGGAAACTTCATACATATAATAAAAAAAATGTTTACTTGAATTTATTATCTCGAGTTAAAAAATTTATAATTACTTGTTACGTATTCGCAAAATTAAATAATATTTTAATCAATATACAATGTTAATATATTCATGAAATCTTTTTAGAGGATCGATTTTAGAGATTTTTAAATTAAACAGTTAAAAAGTTGATACACAAAAATATCGATTAAACCGCGTTTGTTAAATTATGAGAAGATACAATTAGACAATTCTGTTTCTGTCACATGTTGTCTCCCTCTATGTATATCTTGCTTCGTTTAACGCAAACGTCAATTGTTCATAATTTAATAATCAACATTTTCATATATCAACTTTTGTATTCGTTCTCGATTCTTAAGAATATCTCATCAATATATTAATTTTTAAAAACAAATTATTATTATCAATTAATCTGTGTATCTGTGTATATAATAATCTCAAATATATTTAATAATCACAATTGAGAATATATTCTTATGCATATCAATCGTTATCAATGTGAAGCTGATTAAAAATGTATAAATTTTTATACATGGAAAAATTAACCTTTATATTTCCAATTGTCAATCTTGTTTCTTTTAAAACTAGGTAAATTTAATGGATCGTTCTCCATATTTTTAGATTTCATGTATTAAAATGAAATGTAATGTTTCTAAAAAAGATACATTCTTTAATAAATTATGTTTTCCTAAAGAAAAAAAGAAACAGTGTGAACACATTTTCCACATTTTTCAAACAATATTCTTTTATTAGCTTCGCTTTCAGTCTCGCGTTTGAAACGTTGTGTATAACTCGCGTTAATTAAAAGATATGACACAACGTTAAAATTATGTCTCTGTATACACGAGACTCGAAATAGGCTGTATCCATCGTATAAAGTACTTTGATCCGCTACGTATAAGCGACGCTAATTAAAAGATTGAAGCTACGTTTTTATTTAACCGTCAACCAAAGAATAATGATGTATTTGTTGGATTATGTTTTTCCTTCCAGTTAAGATCATCAATCAGTGGTGCACATTTGCACCGAAACAAATTACCTAGTTTTTTTTACACGGTAACAAGTTTTCCCTTCACAACGCCAACCAACACACGTCCACGCGATGAAGGAAAAACGATTTGACGCAAAATCGTTATGGATCCGGATGGATTTTAAAATTCATACGGAGAAATTTCCTTTGAATTTAAATTGAAATATCTATCGAGCGATATATGTTCCGAGCGAAGAGAAGAAAGAAGAAAATAAGAAGAAAAAAAAATATATATATATATATTGAATAAAAAGAATCGATAAAAAGATTTTTATGATATTCCACGATTACGAAGCTATGAAGCTTCATCGCTATAATAACATAAAATCACTTAATCCTTGTACACGTCGCACAGACCTGTCGCTTTTTTATAATTGTTACTATCCTTCTCTATGGCAGCGTGATAAAGATAGCGCCAACTCACTTCTAATCTAAATTTAAATTGCTTATAACCTAATAATAAATATTCTTTCATCGATTGTTTTGTATTAATTTATGTTTGATGTTTGGAATCAACGCTTTAAAAGTGTCCCACGAATATTAAATCACTCTGTAGATATTAAAAGACCGCAATTGGATTTAAAAAGTAAGTGAAAAATAATATAAAATCTCTCGATGAAATCAATCAATTGTTGGATATATATTACAAAATAAAGGAACTTCTCCACAAAATCTAATGGTTTGTAACTGAGATTGGGGCGAGAGAGAGAGAGAGAGAGACTAGCATTTATCAGTTTGGCGGTTGTATTGCGTTTCAATCACGGCACAGTAAGTTAACGAGAATTGAATTTCAACGGAGGAGATCCGTACTATGGCTGCCGGCCCATTCCATGCATTACAAATCCCTGCTGGCCTTTGAACCGTGTGTCTCCATGCCACGAAATGATGCGATATCAATATTGCAGTGTGCAGTTACCCATATATAACACTCGACAAAGCATTCTAACCTGGCCGACATTATTACGATAACATATATGTTACCCGATAACGTGACACGCGCGACACGAGTATAATATTAACGGCATCCTCTAACGGTGTGCCCTCTATTATCTAACCATCCTTCAGCCACGCTATTTTCATCTTGTTCCTCTCCAAATGAAATTGGTGCATTGTATTTCCCGTTTAGTATATATAACTTGCAAAATCAGGATTGTGCTGCCCTCTAGCCCACACGTTGTCCTCCTTCGCCTTTGCTTGTCGTAATATTCCACGATATTTCCGTGATATTACTAATGGCGCACGAAGTGCTTATAAACATATATCAAACTGGATATTAATATCTGATTTGTTTAAGGATTGAAAGGATTGTAGATAGTAGCACATTCCAGTGCCTATGCTAATTATTTATTTATAGATATCGTGATTGTGCTCTATTAATACCTCTTTCTCTTTCATTTATTCTGATTGAATCATATCAGAATTAAATTTTAATTTTATTACTCTAGTATAGTACTGTCTGGATTACAGATGCATTATTATTGAGGAAGATAGATGTTAAAGAATTGATGGCAATTTTTTAGCAATAAACAAGTCTTAAAAATTATAGTTCTAGTTTCGGTTTCATGATAAAAAGTGCAAATTGTTACATTTGATTTAAATTGTTATTTTTGAACAATTAATGTATTTCATTTACTTTTATTTCCTCTTATTTTTTTCATTATTATTTGTTCTCTATTAACAATTTTTATTTATTATTATAAATTTCCTTCTTTATCATTGGATCAAATATTTTCATCTCGTGTAATGTGCCTTTGAAAAAAATTTTATGTCGCATAAGTTATATTTTTACAATCTATTAATTTATAGATATCCTACTTATCGACTTTTTAAAAATTTTCAAGGTTAGGTCTTATCATAATTATAGATATATTGTGTCAAACTTAATCTTTATTCTTGAATACATAATTTGGAATTCTCTTTATAAGAAAATCATATAAAGTTTTTAACTCTGTTTCGAATTAATAATTGGAAACGTTGAAGAGACCAGGTTGATATAGACTTTCGGACTCGCGTGAAACTAGATATATGGAAAGTTTTCATCGAGTTTGAAGGAAGAACGAACGAGATGAAACTTTAATATCAAATTGTATGTCGGAATGTTGTTCTTTCGTCTGTAAATTATACTATACGAGCTATACTATTAATACAAAGTTACAAAATATAAGATTTTAACTAGTCTTCGAAGAACGTGTTAACATTTCAATGGAAGGATCTTCGAGTTTAATTAGTCGGTTAATTAGATCAGTTTAATTAGTCAGTTTCTCTTTCTTACATAGGAAATCACTTCTAAGAAAGTTATGTTTTTCATTAACTATCTGAATTAAGAAGTGACAAATTAGCATTATTAGTCTTAAATAACTTTAGATTGGAAAGATAAATAAGATTTGAAAATATATCTAAGATTAGAAATCTAAGTTTTAATAACTTTTTGCACAATACAAAATATTAAAACAGTTAAAACTATAGCATTTAACAAAGTTATAGTTATTGTATAATAGTTAATTTTTATATTAATCTAATAAATCTTATGATAAATCTAACTTAAATCGAATTCTTAAAATATGAAATATAATACTAAATATGCAATAGTATTAATAATACGATAGAAATATTTTACATATATTCAAAGTTGCTAGACGGTTGCGTCTATCATTAAAAGGAGTTCAATTCTCCTTTAATCAATTTTCGCAAGAGAAGATTACATGATGTCATATTATCTCCACTGCTAGATTAGGCAGAAGCACATCACGTGACACAATGCGATGCTTAGCTTTGATGGAAGCCACCTGATGGAGCCACTTTAGTAGTAGTAAATAGCATAGTATGCCATCTTTGTGCAACAATTCTACATATCTCTAAAATTAAGACTGAATACTAGTTATGAATATATAATATTATCCTTAATAACATTACCCATCTCAAATTTATTGAAATTGAGAATTTTTCAACAATTTTCACATTTACACTCATCAAGTCACCTCTATGATCTAAAATATGATCCATATCTTAATCCCCAAATGAAGTGTGTCTAATAAAGCGTATCTAAGATAACTTCAAGTATCTCAATTTTGCAATTAATCTTTTTATCCTAACCTTTAATATCTAGAAATCAAATCAATATATACATATAAACGTCATTGAAGATGTCTAATAAAGAACTTAATACAAAAATAAAATCAACCTTTTGAAGATTAAATGAAAGTTGTACAACGAATATAAAAACACAACGCGTATCAGAAATGGTGCATGTCAATGAAAAATATGAGAGGGAGGAAGTGTTAAAAATGAAACTCACTTGCTTGCCTTTAAAATACGTTTTTCATGCATGCGCTCTTATGTTCATTTCACTTGCAAATTTCACGATTGATCTTCCGCGTGGCATGGGGCTACGCGTGCTCGTGCCAGATTCCAACCTTCCGAAAATTGGGTTTGCGCGTTATGACGGTTGTACATCCAAAATCCAAACGTGGTGCATTGGATTAGGGAAAATCAACTCGGCACCGATCATACGCTCTGATGGCAAATGTTAATTTGATTGGGTGCCTTCGGTATCATATTACCACTGATTACAATGGCTTCATCGATGTATTTGCGTCTAATAGAGGCAGATTTACGTGGTATTTATTCGCTGTATACTGGAGGAATGTCCATTGCTGAAGGGATCACAATGAATCTCTCAAAAAGAAACAATTGATATCCAAAGATTGTCCTTTGAATCTCTTCAAATGATCAGACAAATTCAATCTTTCATTAGCTATTATATTCTGTGTATTATTGCGAAGAAATTATTTCTTTGGCATTTATAATATTTAGTCGTTATAAGTTTATGATTTTTAGCAGACTTTCGAGACAAATTTTTCTTTCAGTAATTAATAACATTATAATAGCATGAAATATAATCAATTAATTAAATACAAGTTTGTTAATTTTCAAAATGTAATTAATAATTTTACTATTTTATTTACCAATGGAATACTATATCTCAAATCTTTTGTCAATGATATCAAAAAATTGCAACAAGTTCAAAATCATAAGATATAAAAATTACTTTGAAATATCTTGAAAAGATTAAAGGAGACAAAATGCATTTTATTTTTTTTCCGTCAAGAAATGATGATTTTGAAAGATGAAGAGAGATTGAGAACCTAACCTAACCAAACATTGAAAGAAATTTGGAATATATTACTTCAATGTGTTATTATTCGTTTTAATGAATCCAAAAAAAATTTTTTTTATTCCTGTTATAATATATATGTATATATAAAACTGTAAACGTATTATATAAGGATTAATATATATATATATTATACCTCTCAATATGATATTATGAATTAATGAATCACGCGATTTCAATATTTTGCACAATGCAATATGCCGGCATTAACGCCAACGCCATCAATCGTTCTTAGTAAGAACTAATCTGTTCTTCCACTACTATTATCTACTAAGTCTACTAACTTATTCTTATGTTTCCATTTTTTACTATATAATACATCATATTATTTCTTATTGTCTCTGTTTCTGGCAATGTTATTGCTTATGTTTTTTAAAAAATATAATCAAATTCCAAGTTTCAGTTAAATATCAGAAGGAGAATCAATACCTCTGTAACTACAAAACTTTAATCTTTAATCTTTCAATTTTTTTTTTTTTTGTTATATAATTTAGATGAATGGATGCAAAAGAAATTTTCCTTTTCTTTTTCAATAAAAGAATTGGATAAGAAATGGAAAATAAGAGACAAAATCAGCAAACAAAGATCTATTTCAATATTACATTCATTAACGAATTTTATTTTAAAATTACTTAATTAAAAAAAAAAAAGAAGAATATGAAATTATCTGAAAATTTTGCCTTAAAATCCAATTATTCTTGCCCTGTAAGCTTCTTATACATATGAATGATACTGAATGAACGTATACTGAAAAATGGCTAAAAGAACGAAAAAACGAAACCTAATATGATCTCGATGAAGTAGACTATCAAAAGAAAAAATGAAAGAAGAAAATCGATAAAAAAGTGAAATTTTTTTTTATTGTAAGAGACAAGTACTAAAAACTTTATTTCAATCTTTGATAAATGATGATTATCGTAATGGCAAACATTCTAATCGATGACTAATTGAAATAGTGCATCTTTTAATTATCTTCATTAATCTCTTGTGAGACAATTGTGGTAAAGTAGTTGGCATTCTGTTTCTTTCAAATTTAATCACGAACTAATCTTGCGAAATCTTTTTGGATAATACAGTTTTACAAGTTCGTACATTTGGATTTCGAAATAAGGATTTTTGATCGAATCTTCATTCGTTTTATACAGAAGATAAACTCTTTTGAATAATAAAGAATCTCATCATATTTCATGAAAATATTATGTCCATTTCGCTCTGATATTTTGATCAAAGAAATTTAATCTCTAAATTCACTATTTCTAGCACTATTTCTATTAAGATCAGTTTATATTCATAAAAGATTGTCTGAGGATCATGTCTGTGGACATTGTTTGTAGGCAATTTATAGATAATGGAAAATAAAATGTTCTAATCATCAAGAATAATTTTTATTTTTTTATCAACGATCGAATTTTCTATAATAGATTAAATTAAGTTAAATTAGACCCAGATAAATTTGGATTAGATATAGGTTATGTTAGATGGAGTGAGAGATCCAATCTCACAATCATTGTTGTTCTTGAGACATAAGTTTTCAAACAAAATGCGACATTTTTCATTATATTCATTATATTATATTTTTTGATTTTTTAAAAGTGATTCGCAATCTTTATTTGTATTAAAAACTATGCAAGAATATGTCTTGATACTGAGTACGTTTGAAAGAAATGATTAATGATTGATAGATACCTTTCTTCCTTGATAAAATCCTTAATTAAGCAACTGCCAAAGAAATATTAAATTTTGAAATATGAATTATTATAACATGATAAATAAAATATATTAATAATATAAAATCCATGATTTCAAAAAATCTTATCAAGAAAAGAAGTTTTTAAATTTTTCGAAACTGTGTTTGGAATAAAATTTTTATCACAGCTAGCAAATATAAACTAGAAACGTAAACCTAAGAGTTATGGAAGTACTGTCCACACAGATACGAAACAATAGATATATAGTGTGCCCAGAAGAAACAAAAGAAACAGCAAAATAAATAAACCAGGTGTTGATTTAACGTGTTGTCTCATTTTTAATTAAATCATTATCCCTTCATATAAGTCTCGGGTATTATTGGGAGCGCGAACATTTTCGCTTGGAAAAAGGGATCATTCTTTCTGTAAATGGTTCAATGCTTTTCCTTTTTGTCTTTTCATTCTGTTTAGTTGCAAACGAAAGAGTTTCGAACCTGGTTGGCCATATCTCATCTCATCCATCTTGTCTGTGATCCTCTTTATTATGACAGGAGTGTATCAAGCCGTCTTCGAATCTACCGCTGGGCAAACCTTGCAGACATTAATAACGTTACAGCTGGCTGAGAGAGTTATGGAAAAAAGTCGATTAAAAAGAGAGATGAAACAGGAAAGAAAATGGAGAAGAAAAAACTTGTCTATGGAAAAATAGAGGATCATTAACACGATTATGTGGAGGAAAAACTGTTCTCTTTAATTGAGGACTTATTTTAGGATTTAGCTTCTTTACAATACAAGAATTCGTATTTAATTTATTTACTTTTGATGACAAAACTTCAATAGCTGAGTGTAATAGAACAAACATTTTTTTTTTAATAATAATTTTCTTTTCGATAATAGGGTTTTAATATACAAAATATATTGGTTTTAAATTTAGGAAATTATTTAATGTTTATATTTAATGTTTATATTTGCTATTCTTATTATATTATTCCCTATATTATATGATTTAGCTTAGATTAAATCAGATTGTTGGCATTGTATTGACGTCCAGCACAGAATTTTCACGATGATGAGCTTGGATGTCGATTATGTGAATATTTGTGGTATCACTTCTGACGTCCAAATAACATTGACTTAATAATATTTGATGAATAGAGATGAAATACAAATTAGGTTAGGTAATTTTCGCACGGTTAAGTTAATTAACTTCGAATGATTAGTTTAGATAACTTTGAATGGTTAGATTAGATAATTTTGAATGCAAATTAATTTACCTTGAATGCTTAAGTTAAGTAACTTTGAATGTGTTCTATAATCGTTACGTTCATTGCGTGTTATTAGAAAATGGCGCCGTTTATGTTCATAGGATATTACTTTGTAATTTCTAATAATTGAGAGGATGAATTTACAAGTTTCTTCTCAAAAGATAAATATTTAACGGAGCTTAAAAATCAAGTGCAAAAATTATGAAGTAATTACATCCAAATATTTTGGTATCGATTGCTACGCGTTTGAAAATAAATTTAAAAAATTAATTAATAGTGAAATGTTGCTTGATTTTTAAATTTTATTACAATTTTTTAGTATTTTATGTTCGTAAAGAAAAAAATATTTGATAAAATTAAGTGCTCTAAGAAAAAAATTTTTAAAAATTGTTAAAAT